TCATTCTATGATACAAATGCAAGTGAGATGATGGAGGGTAATTACGGTGTACTGTATGTGCCTGCTTCTGACAGCCAACTTGAGAGAATTAAAAAGTGCTGTCAGCATTCAGTATTTTTCAGATGTACATTTGTTTCATTTTTTTTCTAGTGTTGTGTTTATACCCTCTATACAGTTTATGCACTTATTTGAGACTTTTGTGTCTGCCTGTGTAGAACTTATATTAATATAATTTTTAATACCTTACAAAGTTAATACCAAACTGCCGAGAAGTATAAAAATAGAGTTGGTACTGTAACTGCAGAAAAAAAGAAATATGTTCAAATAATGAAAAATAATTAATAATTCACAACTTACCATCCTGAAAACAAATGTCAGTACTTTAAGCCAAATAAGTAGAAACAATGCCACATTGGTAGCCAGCAGAGAGCTGCAGTGATAACAGTGATTCATTGGAGAATCAAACGCTTCCACTTAGTTTCAATGAGTGAATGTTAGTGAATTCATGGGTGAATGATACCTCAAAACCAAGGGTCTTAATGTTTTTTTAAGTAATTTTTTGTTATCAAGTTTCAAGTCATGTCTGGAGTCCTAACAGCCAAGACCCAAGTCAAGTCTGTAGTCCATTTGTTCATGTCAAGTCTGAAGTGAAAACAATAGAGACTCGGGTCATAGATCAGCAGCTCTTTTAAAAACATACCCAAAGTAAACACTAAAATGGTTGAATTGCTCGTAGAATTTAGTAGTATGCAAATCCAGAACATTAAAGCCAGATTTGTCCCCAGTTCTTTTAATGAAAAAGTCTCAAATATTTTCCATTTTCCTTCAGATTGATAACAGAGCCCCCTCGGTTTAGCACTGCATGGAAGGATTCAGTAGTAAACAATTAGGAAAGATCTTATGTGACCTGGCTTTTTTCAATAATTATCCCTGTGGGCAGCAATATATTGAAAACATTTTTTTTATTTGAAAACAGAGACAAGTCTGTGATGGTAATAGGGAACACAGAATTTCAAATAAAGAACATATGATAGGAAATTTAAAAGGCAGGCTGTGCCATCTTATTACACATATCACTGTACATGTGATTTTTCCTGAATTCATGTCAAGTGCATGGCACCACTGATATCGGTGGTTCAGTGTCGAAAACAGGCGAAGACGTGGTTGTGGACAAAGCAAGGAGGTCAAAAGCCGGGAAAGTTCCGAGATCGAAGGTACAAGACAGTTGACAGAGTCGTAGTCGAGGGTTGGTGCTTGGGTCTAAAGCCAGGAAGGTAGTAGGTACTAAATCGGGAGGCGAAGCCATTGTCGAGGAAGAGCGATGAGTCAATAAGCCAGGAGAGTCATAAGCTTCAAAGTTGGGCTGGTAACGTACAAGTACAGAGCTCAGGGAGGAGACCTCAGTCGTGAACGAGGAAAAGAAGACAACTGAGTGTTTAAATAGTACCGAGTAGATTGGTGCGTGAACGTTAAGGTAGAGAAGTGCTCGTGGGAATGTAAGAGCACTTGCATGCCTGTGTGCGATTCGTGACAATTTCTGTAAATGACAACATCCAACAGCAATTAAAAAATAAAACGTAGTGCTTATTGCTTATGCTACCTATATTAGTTATTGCATTCCAGCGATGTCTCACAACTGCGAATATTTTCATCAAAGTTGAATCTTCTTGATGAATATTACTTATAAAAATATTTACAGTTATGGATAGAAATATGCCAATGAATATTTTCCAGATGCAGGAAGGACTTTCTGGCCTGAGAAATTGTCCTGCCTGATTTGTCTCGCTGTTACCAACTCAATGGCCTCCATCCAAGGCAGTAATGGCTTGGATATAAACCATTACACAAGGTGTAACTTCTGTATCATTCAGTCCCGACTCCTGCTTCCAATTAAAAGTCAAATTTTCAATGATTTGTTTTCTTGTGTAACAGAATAATTCAAAGTTAAGTGCTGTGCAAATTCCAATTTTTATTTTATATTATTATATTGAGCTTAACAGGTAAAATTTAAGATCCATCTTTAAACATACTGTACCCAGGGGACATACATGCTAACTGTACTCCACAGCCTCAGATTTTGAATGAATGCTCCTTTTGAAGCAGATTTGTTGAACTTCAAAAGCCATTATGCACTCTTGCCAGGGGAAAATATTAAAACGGATTTAGCCAAGACCTTGCCTTAATTGCCAGCTGCAATTTATTGAGGAATGGCGTATGTGCATGAGGATATGAGACCTTTCAAGAAGAAGAGATAATTGAAGGAACCAGATTAATGATGTGTCATATCAACTTAGCCTGAATCACCATTGACCTTTCTCATAGAACATAGGTTTGATAGATGTAGTTCATTACCAAGTTTTGACTTGAAAATAGAATTCTGCTCCATGCTGTATGGCAGGGCTTATCAATAATTTATCAGCCATAGAATGCAAAAAGACCTAGTGCAATGTAGAGGATCTGATGCCATGCTCAAGGTAATAATTGAATAGTGTCACAGACTGTGATAGTGGTATGTGGAATAGAAAACGATTAAATTACTGCAAGTTATTTGCCATACAACACAGCAGAAAGGGGGGGTACCTAACCTCCCTAGAGTGGTGTTAACAAGTTAACCAGCCTGTAAGTGTCATGCTGAGCCTCAAAAGCAGCTACTGAGAAGCTCTGCACAATTTACTCATTAAGCATCCCAGCGGCATTGTTGATGTGAACCTATTTGACAAAGCCACGGTGCAACATAATAAAGAGATAACACCTTTTTACATTACACCAGGTACTTAAACTACCCTCACTTTATACCTTAATGAATGGAACGAGGTTGCATTTTAGACAGGTAAATGGTAAGAACTGTGTGGTAGCACTGTTTGACAGCTACAGTATGGCCTTATAAGGAACAATAAGCTGTTCAATAAGGAACAATGACCCCAGTCACTGTGGATATTGGGAAAGATATGCTAAATTAAAATCCTCTTGATACTGAAGTTTTAGAAGATTAAATAAGTTCTTTCTCCCTTTTTTTATTTAGTTATTGAACCTTTGTTTGTTTTTTACATCAAACTGACTTGCAATCTTTTTTTAAACAATTTGACTTTCTTTTTAATACCCTTTTATATTATTTCTCATTTAAATGCCATGAACCTTTTGTTTATAACAAACTGCTCAAATCAAATCATGATTCTGGATGTATGTTGGAAATGTTACAAGTTGTGCATAGCACACAGTGCTGTAGGAGATGATGTCCTTTGGGTAAGACATTAAACTAAGGAACAGGCTGCTTGCCCATTAACGATAACATGCAAAATGACTGCTGTGTTTCAGTTTTACATTTCAGTTGATGAAGGGAATCTCCACCAAGACAGAAAGTGCTTGGAATCCTTTAGGATCTAGCAGTTTCGGTTTCTAGAGGAATGCTTGAGAGTCAAATGTGCTGTTCAAAAAGCAATTAATTATGATGAAATAATACTATTCCATAATGGCTTCAGAATGGCTTCAGTATTTCTGTATACTTACAATTGGATTAAATTTAGGTGACAAAGTGGCAGAGTTACAGTACAATAGATTCTGAGCAGGGGTATCTACTGAATGTACTTCAGGTAAAAGTACTTCAGTTTCCTCTCATCTCCCAGTTGGCATTTTGGTAGGTTAACTGGCCATGTTAAATTTCCCATCTCATGAAGAGTGGTAGAGGAGAATTTTCCATACTTTTTAACCTGTACCTACTGTATATTCCCAGTCCCAACACAGTTGATACTAAGAAGTGAAAAAGGTGAAAAAGAAAAAAATGTGTTTCAAACCTTTATTTTAATAATAATACTTTCCATTAGCTGCTTGTGGACCTTCCTATTCAGTCACTGCAGTTGAAAATGCCTCAGCTGTTGCAGCCCTGTCTTAGATAAAGGCAACTACAAACATAAAATAATGTTTAATTAATTAGCGTTATTGCTATATCTGATATTATTTAGTATTGTGTTTTCATGTTACCTGTGGTTTTGTTTTAATTTGTGTGTCCCTGTGTCTACTACGTGTGGTTAATCTGGGTGGTATATTGGCCGTTGATAGGTTTTGCTGAACCTTGTGGTCAAGAGGTTTCTTCTTGGTGAATGGGTGTGTGTGTGTGTATGTGTGAGTGTGTGTGTGTGTGCAAAGCTGTGTCTTCTGCTTGCAGCTTGCCAGTCATTGGGTCGTTCCAGTTGAGTTGTTCAGGTCTGAAACCTTTGTATAAATACACCACATAAAACGAACATTTAAATCCCTTACCTTTTTTATTCATTACTAAACCCTCACAGTGACTGTTCATACAACAATGTATTTTTCTGAGTTGCCTCTAAAGGTTTGGCTTTTTAAATATTTTGCAAGTGCAGTTCAGTAAAAAGAAGCTAGATATTATTTGTCATCTTCAAAACAATGAAAAGGCTCGGCATTCTTATATGCATCTGGCGTTAAAACTGTGGTAGTGTCCGAGAGGTGAAGATGTTATAACATATACATTCCTTATAATTCCTCTTGTCATAGTGTTGATTCTTGAATTACAAATAGGCCAAAGATTCTGTAACTCAGTTTTTGCTGAAAAAGTCAAGTATTATCCTATTTATTGAAATAGGTTCTGATTCATTAAAGAATTTCCCTTTACATGCAAACATGTTTTAGTGAATTCACAAATAATAAACATATTTATTTTTAATCCAATGCTTATGTGATTCATAAAGTAAACTGTATATTTGAATAATTGGAATTTAGACAACACTGCACCTTTGAAATATATTATACACTTGCCTTTCTGTTTTTCCTAACTGTTTGTCTTTTGCCAAGCTTAACAAGTTTTCATATCATATGGAATTAGATAAAAGATTGGTTGACAAAATGTGAATGTTAGACTTTCAGAAAAAAGCAGAGGGTAAGAGATTAATAATGTAATTAACTTATTTGAAGTCAAATGATACTGGTTTATGTCAATGCTTTGAAAATAATTTGAAAGCTTACAGTATGTTCCCCTTTTTCTGTAGGTGACACCTGTACAATGGCAGAATACAACAGGCTAAAGAACATGCTTCTAGATCTTCAGTCGAGAAGCTTCAAGCAAGGCAGAAATGTCCAAGAAAATCGCATGTCCCGACGGAGATTTCTAGTGCAGAAGATGTTTAAATACTTGGATATCAACAACGATGGGCACCTAAGCAGCGATGAGCTTGCTCAGGTGGGCTTATTGTTCTAATAAAAATTGGATTGCAGTGTATTTTAGTGTCCCATTCAAAGTGTAAATTGCATATAGCACTGACAAAGCCTTGAGAGAATAGTTTGTTCTGAGGGGAATGGAGAACACAGACCAAAAAAGAAAACAGAAGATGATTTAATAATAATGTAAAAGAAGAATGTATTTATAACATTACTTACAGAACAGTATACTTTGGTTCTTATACAGGTTCCAGTTTTGACCTCCTTGGCAAATACAGATAGCAAATAAAATAATATGCAAATATTATTAGCTTAGGTGGGTAGCTGCATCAGCATGCTTAGTCTTCAAAGGAACAAGTAATAGGTTTATTCCATGCTGAAAAGAGAAGAGAGGTCCCAGGGTTTTGGCTGTGAAGCCTTCTTCAGCTGACAGCCACCTGAAGAAGGCTTCACAGCTGAAAGGTTGTGATTTCTCTCTTCTCTTTTCAACATGGAATAAACATAATAATTGTTCCTTTATTATTAGCTTAGTTCATATATGCTTTTATCCAAAGTGACTTACATTTCATCAGCAGGGTAGTATAAATAATACCACAGGATTTTTATAAACCTGCAGGACAATTGGGTAAGAACATATTCAAAATACACAATATGAACCATGTCCACTAGTAATAGGGCACATGTAACTTATTCAGTAATGAAAGGCTTGAACAACATACTTAAGAATACGGGATAACTAAAAATATATCAGTGCAGTCCTGGAAGAGAGAGACTGCAAACGCTGCAATAAATTGTAAATACTTAATACTGACACCTTGATTGTTGCAGTGTCTGGTATCCTATAATCTCATCATAGAATACATCTAATAAAGAACTGGTCCCGGTGGTGTCCATGAATGTTCAGACACTTGTATGGAGTGCAGGTTGAGCTGTGTGATCTAGACATTGCTAGGTCAAGTTTAGGTCATGCCCCTAGCTGACTATGATGGAATTCGCCAATCTCAGGGTAGTGTTGAGAGGGTCTTTTGGCTTTCTGTCAAGCAGCAGTTACTGGTGATGTCAGCGAGAGCTGCGTTGCCCCTCAAGATCAACACCTGCTCTCCTGTCAGTCACTGTGGACTGTATAGTGTGTGAACTGACAAATGGCTTTGCACAGGACTGTGTCAGAGGAGAATTTCTGCATTTATAAAAGAATAGAGACCAAGAAAGGGTTGGGAAGGTTAAGTTGGCTATGGTCTAATAAGAATAAAGATAAGATAATATCCGGGTCTTGTACACTGACACAAACTGCATTGCAAGTAGGAATTACAAGAATAAATGTGTGTCATTCCATAAGGTTGCCTGAACTAAGCAGCTTTATAGATTTGTGACACACACATACTGTATACTCAAAGTCAAAGGGAAGCCTCAAATAAGTCCTTCTTTGACTCGAGAGATGTATACAGTAAATATTGAAATCTTTTTAAATGTTTCATTCAGAGGCATTTGATATTAAGAGACAACTTTTGTTTATTTTAGAAGTAGTTTAACAATCCTTTAATGCTTTAATATGACATTTCTTTGTAGATCTCTATGAAAGATCACTTAGATGATGACCTTCTGGAATGCACAATGCAGGACCTGCTCAGATATGATGATTACAACAATGATGGTCATCTGACACTTCAAGAATTTTACACTGCATTCCGTAAGTCAAAATAAGTTTTTTATGTATTTTCATTTTTAATAAAAGTAATATATGGATTCATTACTGTATATGTTTTGTCTGAAAAATAAAATGCAGTGCTTTGCTTTTGTATAGTAGGTTTTATGTATCTAAAACCTATTTATACAGTATGTACTGTATAGTACAGTACATATAAGAGGACGCACTTCATCCACCAATGAAACTCAACACCAACCTTCAAAGAAGCAAAGGAGAAGTGAGAAATTACTACAACAATTATAATAAATAGGAAATTTCAATAGGTCAGATTGAGCAAAACTGAAGTGGAATTTAGCCAGGACCCTGGCCCATAGCCAGCCTCTCTGTTCTTATGAACAGTTCCATGGGATCTTTAATGACCACAGGTAGTCAGGCGTTCAGTTTTAACATCACATCTGAAGGTCGACATCTCCTACAGCACAGTGGCTCCTATCTCTGTACTGAGGCATTGGTCTGGAATTTCTAACACCACTTTCAGCTGCTGGTTTTACTTAGAGGACTTCCATCCCTGTACAGACCAGAGCTTGCCCTCTTTAGCCTTTGAGAGCTGATGAGATTAGTGTACAAGGTGTATAGCTTCTAGGGGTTAGTACTTGTATTGCAATGTGTTTTGTTGTCAGGAACATGAAAAGATGAGTCAAGAGTCTGTACAAGTATAAAAGAGTATTTTATATTGTTGTAGAAGTTCTTACTATCTCATTAGCCACTGTATGAGTCTGCATGAAAAGTGTGCTGTTTCACAGATCTTTAGGAGAGCAATATTAATGACATGTCCTGTTTCATATCACCTACAAAAGTGAGACTCTATAAATGAATGTGACAAGTATCTCACTGTGTCATCATAGATCCATGTTTTCAAAAGAGACTAATTTGAGACTATGCAAAAAAAAGTCTATTACTTTTTATCTGTATTTTGTCTTTGTATATTAATATGACTGAAAACAAGTTTTACTATGTGTTACCTCTGAACATAGTTCACTATGACAGTGGTGACAGTGGACATGAACATAAATTTAATCAATGACCACTGTGCTGGCCGGATGAAAAGTGAATACACCATCAGCTGGACACTTTGCAATACAGACCATTTTCATCAGCCTGTATAAAGAGCATCAAGGGTAGGAATAATGTAAATACTGATGTACCATAGGTGTGTCACCCAAAATTTTTAAAAAGAGTAATTAAAGCAGAAAATGCTTAACATTTCTCCACAGCTTTTTAGCATTATTTCTAGAGCCAAAGCAACAAAGCAAAGCCAAGCAAAATTCCCCAGAATACTTAAAATGCCTAATGAAAAAAAACAGCATGATGCTTTCACCCTATAATTTCTCAATTTGGAATGTTAATGATAATGTTGAACCACTAAACACAATTTTATTTCCACAGCCCCTGACATTTGTCACTAAAAAAGCTAGAATGTATTTTAAAAAATCAGACCTGTGATCTATTCCCATTAGTTCAGTATCTGCTTCTGGGCAGCCACAGAATGGCTTCTGGGCCATTGCACTGATGTATACTACAGACATTAAAATAAAAAGACCTTCAAAAATATCTTCATTAGCTAAGTGGATTTTGGATTTCCTTTTTTAACATTTTGAAACTAATTCTGGAGGTGAGGAAATTGGGATCCTTTGCTGTTTGGACCATTAAATCATGTCCATAATCTCTTCCATAAATTATACCCATGAATCTTTCACATACTGTATGACATTAATCTCTCGATAAAGAAATAATTCTCAAATTGCCATCCTGACTGAAAATATACATAAAAGTTGTTAAAAGCCATAATGCCTGTAAAACAAGTCATTAGCAATGCCAAGCAACCACTTTGAAAGTTTTACTGCTTGAGTAAAAAAAAACATAAAAAATGGGACCATTAAACCTCACTAGTCATTAACTGTGGTAACGACCGATTTTAGTAGTATTATTGTTGTCATTATACAATTATTTTCCTGTTATCGTCCAGATGGTACACAGTATCTGTTTCAGAGTTTTTCGTACTCAAGCCCCACCAGAATATTTAGCATTTGAACATTTGGAAGAGAATCATTACAAAAGCTCTTCATCGAATGATGTTCAAGGTTAACAATACAGGTGAAGTACAGCTGTTATTTGCCCTTCACTTTCCTTCAAGAGAAGGATATTAAAATGCAAAAATACTAAATATTCAAAAATCTGAGGCTAGAGTTTTGAAAGTGTGTTTTCACTCAGTTTTGGAAATCATATTCAATACATTTAATATAAAATCTCATTTCATAACCAAATAAAGTTAAATATAAACAATTAGTTGGTCTTCTTGTGTGCCGTGAGAACCATACAGTATACTCTAACTCCTCAGCTCAATGAAATGCAAACAAATTCATTTGAGGTGTATCTGTGGAGATCACTCAGCTGTTGTAGTGCTCTGTAATGTGATCTGATTAGTTTAATACATACACAATTACTTTCATTCTTTTTTAAATTTTTATAGATGCATTGTCTGAAATTAAATCTTTGCAGTTATTATTTTTCCTTTATTGTTTTGCACTTATCCAGGACTCTTTTTCAACAGAATGTATTTCATTATCTCTCAGAAATAATGGTGCTGTACAGTATTTATCAATTTAGTGCCTAGAAATTTAAATACTATATTTTCCTTGCATCCATCCATTTTCTAATTCCCGTATCAAACATAGGGCTGTGGGGGGTGGGAGCCTATCCCAGCAAGCTTCGGGCGCAAGGCAGGATACAGCCTGGATGGGACACCAGTCCATCACAGGGCACGCACAAACACATAAGCACACACATTCACACCAGGGCTAATTTTTGTCTTTGGACTGTGGGAGGATACTGGAGCAAAAACCCATACAAACATTGAGAGAATGTACAAATTCAATGCAGATAGCACAACTGGTCTGGAACTGAACCGAGGATCCCCAGACAGCAATACTAACCATGGCACCATTCGACCACCATGCCACCCACCTTAAATCTTTTTCATAATGAAAATATTTCTTTATAATTTTACTTGCATTCAGATAGGTAATTTACAGAACTGCTACAATCAAACAGACAGCATTTGAGGGTATTTTGATACCTCGAGCATATTTTTAAATCGTTTTTTTTTTAAACAAATCTTCATAGGTCAAAGGCACATATGAAAATGAATTGGTTTAAACCCTTGAAAATAAGATGTTTAGGTTTGTATTGCATGTAACTGTAATTACCATTCACTGTAATTAATTGCATAATTATTAGCTATACAATTAATTGAATTCATTTGCCATTAAAGACCTCCGGATACTGCAAAGCACACTAAACTAAAATAGATTAGCGTAATCATCATTGTGAAATGCTAACAATTTTTAATGCAGACTCTATGGTTGGACAGTGATAAATTTGTAATGACAATGAAGTACAAGCTGGCTAATTGAAATTAACCTTATATGGCAATTCCCAGGATACGTTCAATAGTTTCAGCTTTGCGTCCTAGCAAAAGTTTTTTTTTTTTTCGCTAAGTGAAGTAGGGGAAGATAACAGTTCAGGTCTTATTTCTTCAGAGACTAAGATGGTGCAAGCTTTCTTAAGCAGTCTTACTGCCAATTTTTCTCAAGTCTTGGATGGTAATCCATCATTCTCAATTTATTGAGTAACTCAATCAGTCCATTTTTTTTTTGCAGGTGTATCTGTGTAACAAGAGTCTGAAACACAAAACAGCTGTGTGAGAAATGTTTAAGTCATAGAGCAGAGCTGTGGCAGAGCCACAGGACAGGGCATTGTTGACTGCATTTTACCCAGACTCATTATGGATTCGAGCCATGAGCTTCAGCCGAGGGATGAACATTAAATTCCAGCTAGATAGCTGCAGCATGCAGGCCCTTGTCGGGGAGGAAGCTGGATGAGTGATAACGTTGTGCAGTTGAACAGTTTTGCAGGCTGAATCTATTTGTTTTTCATTGCTCCTGCTAATAGCAGGATTATGAGGCACCAGCAAGCCTCACTGACAGTTGGAGTCAGCAGATCTGCTTAATTAATCAAGGAGGTGAAAGAAAAGGGGGGGGGGGGAGTAATGTAATTGGCCAGTAAGTTCATCCAGCAGAGACTGTGTCCAAATGTGCTGAGGGAGAGAGATTGTGGTCAATGTCTTGCAGTGCGTCTGAAGGTCAGTGGAAATCCACATGCCAGTCCTTGTCTTTTCTTGATGTATATTCTCAGTGGGGGCAAATTATACAGGCTGAGAGAAGAGTATGGTTATCAGAAGGAGATCACAGCTCTCTAAGGGATGTAAATTATAACATTAGCATGGGACAGTCAATTGAGGCCAAAAAAAGATAAGGATGATTTTCTTATCTTTCTTTAAAGCAACAGCCTTTTGTGAAGTTTTAAATGAGCTGTAAGAGAATGAAAGTAAGACCACCGGTGTTTTCTTTCATTTTGAAGTGGGATTTCCTGGTCATATTTTAAGAAGATGTGCGCTAGAGAAAAAAAATCATTATTAAATTGCCTTCATCATGGAAAGGGGAGATTAAAAGATGAATGCTTCTCACTTCACACTGAGTTAAATTTCACCCCCTTGATGTTATTGTAAGGAGAAAAACAACACCTCATAATTCTGTTTAGGGAAGAAATTTTGTTTAACACTATTTTTTCAAACACTACTTAACTAAAATATTTACATTTTTAATTATCCTATGCCCTGATATTTTGCATGTGTCTGAAAATGTTCATTATAATACTATTATAATTATAATACTTCGTTTTAATAAAAATGTTTTGATATTTTGGTACTGATCATGTTAACAAAACTTATTGCACATGCTAATAGGGTATGCTTTTATTTTAGCATTCTGTCAAACTGAAGATCAACTTCCTGTCACACGATTGCAAACGTATGCACCTGTTTATCTATTATCTTTATGTTGCACTTTGGTGGAAAATCACTCATCACTCATTTCTCTTAGTAGAAGTCAAGGTATTTTTGCCTTTTTAAAGCTATTTCATTC